CCTTGTTGAACCTCATCAGGTTTTTTTTGGCCCAATCCTCTAATTTGTCTAGGACCCTCTGTATCCGATCCCTACCCTCTAGTGTATCTACCACGCCTCCTAGTTTAGTGTCATCTGCAAACTTGCTGAGAGTGCAGTCCACACCAGATGATCCTCCAGATCATTAATAAATCATTTTCCCGTCTCATTCCAGGTTATAACGAAGCACCAACTCTGCCAAGTGAGTATAGTTCAGAATGATCCTTAATGAAAAAATGGGAAAGATACAAACTTGCAAAGTTTAATACAAGACAGGCGGTGAATAGAGCTTGTCTAGAACTGTGAGTCTGCTCACAATGAAATGGAATTGACCCTCTAAGGAGAACTGTCTGCAGTACCCTTGGGGGTGGGGTGGGGGAAATAAAATCCCATTTGCGATTTGCGTAAGCATGGATCTGGGGAATTAGAGATGTGTTCCAGTGTGTCTGTAGGGCTGAGATTTTTCATTCTGCTATTTCATTTTTTGCAGCTGTTTTCCCAGTCTCAACCCCCGCTCCAGCAATTGAACATTTCACTGTGAACTTCACCATAACCAATTTCAAATATGATTCACAACTGGGATCTCCTCATTCTGCCCGGTTCAATGCTACTGAGAAAGCCTTGATCTCGTTGGTAAGTAGGACTGGCTCACAGCCTTTCTGGGCAGTTTGGGGTATCTGGTGCTATCAGCAGTACGACAGACTAATGACATCCTCTCTTTGCCAGCTCAACCCAATATTTGGAAACAGCAGCATCGGCCCAGATTATATAAAATGTGAAGTGACGGCTTACAGGTAAGGATCCAGGCACTAATATTTATTTATAACACTACAGTCTGTGCACACATTTCCTATCAGTTGGTTTAGCATCAGAATGAAGCGGAAATATTTCCCTCTTCCATAATTAAGCCCTACGATACTTCTGTCACTGTGGTTGGGAGAAGAACTTGTTAATGTCAGCATAGGTTTCTGGAGGAGACTGAATGCTTAGAGCTTTATAAATGGCCTATTTATATTCTTGATTGGTAGAACATCGTTAAGGGGATTAATTTAGATTCCATTAATAGGTGTACTTATGAATTATCATCTTATGGTAACAATGAGATCCCAGAATGAAACATATCTCTTCATCATTAGCAAACAATTTAAACACATGAACAAATCTGACATTGGCTTTTCTCTTGTAGACTGGTGAGAGCTGGGAATGACACAGGGGTAGATGCCGTCTGCACCTACAGGCGCGACTCCACTGCTCCCCCGTTTGACAGAGTGGGTGTTTACCATGAAATCCGCAATAAGACAAATGGCATCACCAAGCTCGGCCCCTACACCCTGGACAAGGACAGCCTCTACGTCAATGGTAACCAGATGATTTCTTTACAGCTTGTCCGTTCTATGTAATTGATTGCACCAATGTAACAATAGAGACGTGATATATTTGATGGACGTTAAAGAGGACATATAGCAAGAAAGCGTCCCAACCCCAGAATAACCACGGACCATAGAAAGGTTTCAGAGTAGCAGCCATGTTAGTCTGTATCCGCAAAAAGAACAGGAGTACTTGTGGCACCTTAGAACCATAGAAAGTCAGTGATGGTTTCATGCCCTACTGCTCTTTTTGGACCATCCTATTTCTCACTTCCTTCCCTCCCCACCTGTCTAGTTGCCCTCTAATCATTTTCCCTTGTCATTCCAGGTTATAACGAAGCACCAGCTCTGCCAAGTGAGTATAGTTCAGAATGATCCTTAATGAAAAAATGGGAAAGATACAAACTTTCAAAGATTAATACAAGACAGGCGGTGAATAGAGCTTGTCTAGAACTGTGAGTCTGCTCACAATGGAATGGAATTGGCTCTCTAAGGAGAACTGTCCGCAGTACCTTTGTGGTGGGGGAGGGAAATAAAATCCCATTTGCGATTTGCGTAAACATGGATCTGTGGAATTAGAGATGTGTTCCAGTGTGTCTGTAGGGCTGAGATCATTGATTTTTCATTCTGTTATTTCATTTTTTGCAGCTGTTTTCCCAGTCTCAACCCCCGCTCCAGCAATTGAACATTTCACTGTGAACTTCACCATAACCAATTTCAAATATGATTCACAACTGGGATCTCCTCATTCTGCCCGGTTCAATGCTACTGAGAAAGCCTTGATCTCGTT